ACAGGGTCAAATGAGGCAGACAAGGATTGGCAAGGCTCTGAGAAGTTACTTGCTCCAAGTTTCCACTGGCACAAATTGTAATGAGGAGTAGCCTCACTGAGAGCCCAAATGCCTGCCCGGGGTCTTTGCACACAGAACTCATTAGAAACCCCAACACATCAGTGGAGCGGGTTCTCCCATCACCATTTTGCAGAGAGAAAAGGACATCGAGCGTTAATTAAACTCAGACAAGATCCCACAGTCAGCATGTGGCCCAGCTGGCCTCTGAACTCAGGCAGACCCTGCATTCTCTAAAGATTCCCTGTTCTTCTCCAGACTTCTTCCCCTGGGGCTCTCTGCCCTGCTCTCAGACTCCCCTCTGCCTCCCTGCTGAGGAAGACGAGGCTTCCAGCTGAGAGAGCTGGGAAATGGAACAGCCAGACCTGCAGGGACTGTGGCCAAATTCCAGGCTTGCCCTGGCAGACATGAGGAAGAAGCCCAGAGGCGCAGCAGAGGGTAGAGCTGCTGGGCAGAAGCTTCCTGGGGAAGCCCAAGGTGCATTGAGTCTCCCAGGTGCCAGCCAAGTCCTGTTTTGCTCCAGGTGAGGGAGGCATCTGGGCACTCGGCCTCCCTGAGTGCAGAAGAATGAACTTGAAAGGCCAGGTGAGGGGTGCAGGTCCCCAATCTGGGAGGAGGGAGTCAGCCCAGGCTGGACTGTGCACACTGCCTCCTCCTTCGGACTCCCTTGGCATCCAAACAGCATTTCCATAATTAGCATAGCTAATTGTTAATATTAATTAACTTTTTCCTCCTACTTCATATCAAAGTTCTTTTTCAATGACAAATTTAAGACTACCTGTATATTTGCTTTGAGGAGGTGGGGGAGTACCAGTGTTATATTCACTCCATGTGTTAAAATGTGAGTGTGAACTAGCGTTGTCAATGTGTATTGGTAATAACTGGGTTGTTTCAAAAAACATGTATTATAATTACTGTTCTTTATATTTACTCTGCCAGATGGTGTTGAAACTCTTGATTCTGGATGGCTGACATGTCAGACTGAAATGAGATTACGTTTGCACTATTCTGAAAAAACTCCAGTGTCAATAACCAAGAAAAAATTTTAAAATTCTAGATTTAGGTATGACCACATGTATTTGCTACTTAGGCCATTGATTTTCCCTAGTACTAGAGATTTCTGTCTCCCCTGGTTTTAGCTTTTCAGTATATAAACTAAGAACATAACACACTTAACGATAAATGTCACATCCTCTAATGACTGCAGGGCTTTGTAATAGTGAACTGCTTTATCCCCTCATGTTGCTACTATTAATACATACTTATGTAGTCTAAATCTCAATATTCAGGACCAGAAAAATTTGTTTTTATATAGATAAGTGGTTTCTAAGCTTGTATATTTTTGTAGTTTTCTATTATTTAAAATTTCCTACTATAGAAATAAGTAGTTACTTTAAAATTGATTTTATAGAGATTATTTTGTCCTAAATGAGAGGAAAGAGGCATAAAAAGAGAAAAGTAATTGTTACAAATATTTTGCAGTGTTCTAAATTTTACTGTGGTTTGAGAATGAAAAGTTTTCCATGAAGAAAGCTAGCAGTTATCATAGCAGTGCCAAATTAGTTTCTTTTAAGGCCTATATCAATTTTACAGACACATGTCAAGCTTTGTGTAAATGGTTAAATAGCACATAACTTTATTTTTCTGTAATGTCACTGTACATAACTTTGAGTGAGTTACTTCTCAAAGACCTAGGCAGCCCTATCCAAAATTCAAAATAATTTTTGGGACATTGGGATGGATTTCTAAGTCTTCATATGTAACACAGCTTTTTCTGACAAAATGTCAGGGCCATTTTCAGTAACTGAAGTGATTGACAATACAATACTTATCTTTTAAAGAGTAGTTCAGCAAGTAAACTCAGTCAGGTGTTTAACTTGACCTCTTAGGAGCTAACATCTATTCTAAAACACACTTTTTTTGTAATTTAATCTCTCTGAAATTGGAATAGGTTTTACAAGTTAGCTTTGAGTCATGGTTTAATTGGCAGTTTTTTCTGCTTTTCTTATTGGTATATAAAATACTGATGCATTTTATAATTTATAATGAAATAGAGCTCCCTACATCCTCATAAAGTATGCTATCTGCTTCTGTAGAATTGCTTGCTTACCCTAAGTAACTCCATTTCACCCCATCTGACCTGCAGACTACCCCCCCCTTCTGCATGAGAAACCATTGACTTTCTCATAAAACAAAAGCCGTTGCATAGAAACGGGAGCCACACACAGTAAACTACTACATGGGAACAGGAGCCATACACAGTGAACTATTACATGGGAACATACACAATGAAAAGTTGTATGCTTAATTGTTCTAATGGCTCATTCTTGGCTTCTGTGACCTAGCTCCCTAACTTGCTTTGTGCACCTGGAAAAACCCGTGCCAACGGGATGTACTTTTTGCCTTTAAAAACCCCACAAGACCAAGGCCCAATGCCGCTCTTCCTTGGTTGCTCTTTGGGAGACAGTTGCTGGCCAGCTGGAGTGAATAAACTGCCCATTTCTGCACAAGTGGTGTGTAAGTGCATTTCTTGTGGGAGGGTGCCTTACAACATTTTGGAGGCCCCAGCAAGATTCTTTCTCTTGTGAGTATATCCCTCCCCGTGCTTATCTCCTAGGAGAAGATAGAGAAGCTGTTCCTCTTCTTCTCCCTGGAGGCAGATGGGGCACTTTATTCTCTCCCCGGGTAGGTGAGATCTCAGTAAAGGACGATGCACCAATGGTTGGACTTAGTGGGAAGCTGGATGCAGTATTAAATCCCCTAGTCCTTGGGCTCCCGAGATGTCACTGGGCCCATTGGCAATTTGGATTTGGGTTTGGGACATGCAAGTCTTAATAGGAATTGTGTTTCCATGTTTCTTGTTCGTCTTTGTTGTTGTGATTGTTGTGTCTGTGGATATCTTAGAGTAATTTTGGATGTGGCCACTTGTCTGTCTTTAGTGTGTTGACAGTTGTGTTTTTGTGTGTCATTAACTGAGGTCTTATATAACAAATGGGACAAAATTCCTCCAAACAGGTCTATGGGACAATGCCCTTACATACAGATTTGGATTGATAGAATCTCTGACAAGCCGTCATGACTAAAAAGGTGCCGTAAAAAAAAATTGTCTGAAGGTGAATGGAAATAGAACACCATCTGTGCTTTTAACTAAGCCTTCTCTTCCAGCTTCTCTGAAGAAGGCTTCAACCCCCACAGTGCCTCCTGTACTCTCTGACGCCTCTGAAGACCCAAGGTGGCTTTAAAAATTGAAAATAAGCTAAGAGTATTTCCTTTAATAATTTCTTCTCCCTTCACTGGAGAAGATTTTAAAATTTGGGGAAGGTTGATGATAAAACAGCAGTAGTGCATAACAGCAATGATTTAATCTCTGACTATACTGTAACCAAAGAAAAGAATTTGAAAAACTGTTGTCGGACTGCTAGATTAGTCCCAGCATGTCAACCTCATTTTTGGTTTATTGGCTTTTGTTACTTTATGTCACGCTGACCTTATTGTTAAACACAGGATGGTTTGCATTCTTTCCACTCATGGAGAAAATGGGGAAAACATTACTTTTAAGTTGGTTGAAAACATTAACTGACAAAACACTTCAGAAAAATGTAAATTATGCAGCTAAGAAAGCATACTCTGTTCATTACTTTAAAAAATATACAGCCTTATTAACTCCACAGTGTAACAGTGGTCAGAGTCAACATTTAGGTAGATATATTTAAATGGTAGTGTAAATAGCTTTCAGGGCATACACATAGCTTTTCCCTAAAGAATTGCTCTGGCAACTCTGCTAAAAACCAATTGACCAGAACGATGGGTGTATTTCTGGACTTTGCCTGTTTCCCATACTCAGAGTGGCACTGCCTCGCCCGATGTTCCTCCAATCCCCGCTCTCGCTCCCCCACCTGATCTCTCCCTCTGCATACTCGGAGTGGCGCTGAGTATCGGTCCCCTCCCTGCCGTTCCTCCAACCGCCCTCTGCATACTCGGAGTGGCGCTGCCTATCGGTCCTCTCCCTGCTGTTCCTCCAAACCCCCCTCTCACTCCAACAGGCTCCTGTGCCTCCTGGAACTCCTCAAGACCAGGCTCCATTCATGGTTTACAATTGGAAAAATCAAAATCCTTCTTTCTCAGAAAAACCTCAGGGCCTCATCTCCCTCCTGGAGACTATTTTCTTTACCCACCAGCCTACATGGGATGATTGTCAGCAGCTCCTGCAGACTCTCTTCACTGCAGAAGAACACAAGTGGATCCAGAGGGAGGCCCTGAAAACTGTTACCGGTCATGATGGCTGACCCTCTGATGACCCTGTTCACCTCGAATGCATGTTCCCCTCTAACAGATCGGGGTGGGACCCAAACATGTACCAAGGTAAGAGGGTTCTCAACCTGTACTGCCAGACTCTCCTTAGGGGACTCTGCACAGCAGCCCGGAAGCCCGCTAACCTATCTAAAGTAAGTGAAACTATTCAGGGACCAAATGAAACCCCTGCCACTTTCCTGGAATGCCTAATGGAGGCTTTCAGGACCTACACTCCTGTGGACCCTGAGACCCCAGAAAAACGGCAGGCAATAAATATTGCCTTTGTTACCCAGTCAGCCTCATACATTAGGAGAAACCTTCAAAGACAGGAAGGATTTAAAGGAAAATTGTTATCTGAGCTGGTTGAAATTGCCCAGAGGGCCTTTAATGACAGATAGTCCAGAAAAGAAATAAACCAAAAAGCTAGATCTTAAAGATGCCTTCTTCAGCCCCCACTGGCTGAAGTAAGCCAACCTCTCTTTGCCTATGAATGGCCTGACCCTGAGGGAGGATACTCTGGACAATTAACTTGAACTCACCTCCCCCAAGGATTTAAAAATTCCCCAACCTTATTTGATGAAGCCTTTCACCCTGTTTGTTGCCAAGACATGAAGCATTGCCAAGGGGGTGCTCAACCAAGCCCTGGGACCATGGAAGAGGCCTATCACCTACCTCTTCAAGAGGTTGAATGGTGGAGTTGCAGGATAGCCAACCTGTCTCTGAGCCATAACGACAACTGCTTTACTGGTAAAAGAGGTTAACAAGACATATGCTTAGTGGCCCCTCACTCAGTACAGACTCTCTTACAAAGTGCACATGAACGTTTGCTCACCAACTCCCGCTTCACCCAGTATTAGGATTTACTTCTAGATCAGCCCCTAAAACCCATGGCTCTAAATCTGGCTACCCTCCTCCCAGGTGATAACCCAATCGAGCCTGTCCATGACTGCCTTGAAACAATTGAGACTCTCCAAGGTCTTCGGCCAGACCTGACTGATGTGCCCTGGAAAGAGCCTAATGAAATGCTGTTCACTGATGGAAGCAGTTTTGTCTTCAATGGAACCAGGTATACTGGGACAGCCATGGTAACTTTAGATCAGGTCATTTGGGCTCAAGCCTTAAGCCAAAGAACATCTGCTCAAGAGGCTGAACTCATAGCCCTAACACAGGCTTTAAAGCATGGAAAAGATAAAACTGTTAACAAATATACTGACAACAGATGTTGTACTGGCCATGTTCATGGGGCCTTATACAAACAGAGAGGACTATTAACATCAGAAAATAAATAAATAAATAAAAAAGCAAAAATACTAGCCCTCCTTGAGGCCATATGATATCCAAAAAGAATGGCCATCATACATTGTCCAGGCACCAGAAAGATAACTCGTTTGAGACCCAAGGCAACACTGCTACAGATTTGACTGCCAAAGAGGCCACATTAAAACCAGTGGGGCCATTTGACTCTTTAATAATCATTCCAGCACCTCAATTGCCACCGACTCTCCATTATACTAAAGAAGAAGTAAAGCATGCTAAGATCTTAAAAGCCTCCAACAATGCCATGAATTAGAAAATTCTGCCAGACCACAGGATTTATTTGCCACAGGCTCTAGGCAGATTGCTGATTAAACAGATACATCAAGGAACACACCTTGGATCCACAAAATTAACTGAACTTTTAAAAAATATTATTACACCCAAGGTCTTGACAAAATAACAAAAGACATTGTTACCAGATATGAAATTTGTTCACAAGTAAATCCAGGGCCAAAACCAAGGCTGCCCATTGGAACAAGAACGCAAGGAACCAACCCTGGCAAACCCTGGGAAACTGACTTCACCAAGGTAAAACCTGGACAGTATGGGTATCGCTACCCTTTGGTGTTCACAGACACTTTTTCTGGATGGGTAGAAGCCTTTCCTACCCAAACTGAAACCGCTCAGATAACACTAAAAAAATTGTTACAAGAAACTGTCCCCAGATTTGGCCTACCTGTAATCTTGGGGTCTGACAATGGCCTGGTTTTCACAGCCCAAATTTCCCAATTATTAGCTAAAACATTAAAAATAAATTGGGATTTACATTATATTTATAGGCCACAAAGTTCAGGACAGGGAGAATGAATGAATCGGACTTTAAAAGAAACACCAAATTAAAACCAGAGACGGATGAGAACTGGGTGAGCCTCCTTCCCTTTGCCCTCCTAAGGGCGAACTGCACCCCCTACATACAAGGAATTACACCCTCTCTGTTGCCCCACCTCAGAGATGATAAACTTGCTGAAATCACTAACCATAACCTTCTTCAGGCCCTCCAACAGGTAATATGCCAAATTCACCCCTTGATCAGAGAGGCCTACCCACCGACAAAAGCAATTGGTCAATTCTGCAAAAAGACCTCCTGGAATCTGAGAGGGGTTACATTGAATCTATCGATCAATTTGGGAAGAATTGACATCTTCACAATATTGTCTTCTAGTTCATGAACATGAAATGTCTCTGCATTTATTTTAGATTGTCTTTAATTTCTATTAGCAGTATTTTGTAGTTTGCAACAGATAAGTCTTGCATGCTTTTATTAAATTTGTTCCTAAACATTTTATTCTCTTCAATGCTATTGTGAATGAAATTGTTAAATTCATTTTCAGACTGTTCATTACTAGTATATAGAAGTATAATTGCTTTATTCATTTTAATCTCAGGTCCTCAAACTTGCCAAACATGTCTAGTTCTAGTAGCTTTTTGTATGGATTCCTCAGTATTTTCTACACACAGAACCATACCATCCATGGATAAAGACAGTTTTACTTGTTCCTTTCCAGTCCAGACTTCCTTCTTTGTCATGAGCAGACTGGCTAGCATACAATGCTGGCCCCATACAATGCTGCATAAAAATGGCAAGAATAGGCATGCTTGCCTTATTCCTCAGTTTATGGGAAAAGCACCCAGTTTTTCACCATTAAGTATGATGTTAGCTGTGGGCTTTTTGTAGATGCACTTTATTAGATTAAGAAAGGTGCTTTCTATTCCTAGTTTATTGAGAGCCTTTCCAATTAAATAACAATTTTAAAATGTAAAGTGCTTTGATAAAAAGATTTACACCAAGTGGTCAATCTGATAATGTTGTAAAAAGTTAATTTTTTCCTCTTTGCTGTGGTCATTGTGTCCTCCACAGAAGCTGGACCTACCTGAATGTGCAGCAGCAGCTGCATGCATATATAATCAACACAATCAGACTAACGAGGTGGATTATACATGGCTCTAGGAAAACCTGTTGTTTCTATACCAACCATTCAGGTGTTATTAGAGACAGCCTTGCATTAGTCAGAAAACACATTAAAGAGAAGAGTCAGATAGTAATAATAAAAATTGGTTTGAAAATCTTTTTCCTGGTCACCTTAGTTAACGAACAATCAGTCAAACTCCTTGTTTTACATACTAAGTACAACAAATTAAGTACTGATGCATCAATGGTTTGATTCCTTCCTAAAGAGGAGTTGGGAATGAAATAGAGCTCCCTACACCCTCATAACATAAAGTATGCTATCTGCTTCTGTAGAATTGCTTGCTTAACCTAAGTAACTCCATTTTACCCCCATCTGACCTGCAGACTACTCCCGCTTCTGCATGAGAAACTGTTGACCTTCTCATAGAAACAGAACCCGTTGCATAGAAACGGGAGTCATACACAGTAGACTACTACATGGGAACAGGAGCCATACACAGTGCACTATTACATGGGAACACACACAATGAAAAGTTGTATGCTTAATTGTTCTAATGGCTCATTCTTGGCTTCTGTGACCTAGCTCCCTAGGTTGCTTTGTGCACCTGGGAAAACCCTTGTGCCAATGGGATGTACTTTTTGCCTTTAAAAACCCCACAAGACCAAGGCCCAATGCCGCTCTTCCTTGGTTGCTCCTTGGGAGACGGTCGCTGGCCAGCTGGAGTGAATAAACTGCCCATTTCTGCACAAGTGGTGTGTAAGTGCATTTCTTGTGGGAGGGTGCCTAACAACCATAACATCTTAAAGTGATAATAGTAATTATTTAGTGTTTGACAATATTAATAGTAGATAGTTTTTGTTTTGTCTTCATATTCGTCAGTTTTCTGTGCTTATAACAGAATACCTGAAACTCGGTGACTTGTGAATAAATGAAATGTATTATAGTTTTGAAGGTTGGAAAGTTCAGGATCCAGGGGCCACATTTGGTGAGGGGCTTCTTCTGGTGGGGACTCTCTACAGAGTCCTGTGGCGACACAGAGTATCATATAACGAGTGCTGAGCAAGAGCATTTCCACATGCTTTCTTCCTCTCCTTGTGAAGCCCCCAGTCTATTCCCTAATAGCCCATTAAACCATTAACCCATAAATCCATGAATGGATGATCTATTCATGAGGACATAGTCTTCACAATCCCGTTACCCTTTAAAGGCCCTACCTTTCAAGTACCATATTGGGGATTAAGTTCCAACCTGAGCTT